CCCCCCCCCACCCCCCCCCCCCCATCCCCCATCCCCCATCCCCCACCGCCCACCCCATAAATAGCCCCCCCCCCCCAAACCAAACCCCCGCCCTCCCCATCAACCAAAAGTGTAACAACCATTGAGAACACAGTCGCATCCACATCGCTGGACAGATCGATTTATGTCATCCGGATCCACGCGATGTGGATGTGAATGTGGCTGTCTCAGAGACGGGGAGGGTTGGGGATGTAGAGGTGGCGGGGGAGATGTGACGGCGGTGGCGGCGGGGGGGGGGGAGGGAGTGACGGCGGTGGGGGAGTAGTGACGGTGGCGGTGGTGACTGTAGACAAGCGGCGGTGGTAGGAAGGCAAAATGACAACAACAAACAAACAGCAGCAGGCCAAGCGGTGACAGCATTCCCGCAACAACAGCAACAGCAGCAGCAGCAGCTGACTCATGGGCACAGCGGAGACAGGTCCACGTAATGTTTCTGGACTTTCAATCTGGCTGCTGTTGTTGCTACTGGTCAATGCTGGACCTTTGGCCTTCTTGGCAGCGGCGCGTTTCTCCTGCACCCCCCCCCCTTGCCTTTCTGATCACGAGCGGCTATGAGCAGGTTTATATACACTCCACGCCACGCACCACGCACCACGCACCCAAACCCGAGAAATCATATCCCATCCCCATCCCTAAACAGTCGCGCAAGAGAAAAAAACCGCAAGGGAAACCGCAAAGAAATCTTCATGAAGATAAATTCGTATATTCAATAAAATTCCTATCATATAACCCCCCTCATCACTCATTACCCTTCATTATTACCCCCCACGCGGCCCCTTTCCCCTCTTTCCCCTTTTCCCCTTCCCCTTCCCCTCCCTCCCCCATTTTCCCTCCCTCCTCCCCCCCTCTCACTTCTCCTCATCCAACATCTCCCCAAAAGCACTCTTCCTCCTCCTCCCCTGACCCTGACCCGCACCATCAGACCCAACATCCGGACTCAACCCCCCCGTAGCGCTCATCTCCCCATTTCCTCCCTCCCCCAAACTCCCCAAACTCCCCAAACTCCCCCACCTCTCCGTCCTAGGCGTAACAGGGCCGCTGCGTCTCCTCTCTCCTGCGCCCGCTCCACCATCAAGCTCTCCCTTCCCAAGGCCAATGGAGGGGGATTCCCTCCCAAACGCCGCACCAGCGTCAGTCAGCCCCGGCGAATCACCTCTGGGTGACACCACCCCCGCGCCGTCAGCGCTCAACTCGCTGCTTCGTGATGCTGTTGATGCTACCGATGGGCTGGGATGCAACCCCCCCCCACCCCCAATCGGCACATACGCCAACCCCGCCGCCCCCACCTCCTCCCGCGCCGCGCTCAGCTCCTGCGCCTGACTCGTGCCAGGGAGCTCATACACCATATCCCCCCCGGCTTCCACCACATTCACACTAACACTCGGCACCGTCCCCGTGGTGCTCAAATGCCTCCCCCCACCACCCACACCCGCAGAATCGTCATCAAACGCCGTGCTAGGCGTCTCATCAGACGTGACGGTTCCGGTTTTGGGGTCATGTCCCCACACCCAGCTTAGGATGCGGTTTCGGTTTACTTCAGATGTGGCGGCCACGCTGTCGCGGCGGCGGAGGTAGCGACGGCGGCGATAGAGGAGGAAGGCGATGGCGAGGGCGGAGAGGACGACGAGGGTTAGGACGACGCCGAGGACGGGGGCGAGCCATTTGGGTGTCCCACCTCCGGGCGCTGGAACGGTGGTTGTGGTAGGGACGGGGGGGTTGGTGGGGTTGGTTGGGGTGCTGGTGTATGCGTAGGGATACCAGGGTGTGATTTTGCTGGTATCGTATTCAGTCTCAAAGACAGTGGCGAGGGATGCGTTATTCCATTTCGTACTCGCGGCGCCGGCGATGGCGGCAGTGACGACGGACGGGACGGTGTAGTTACTCCACACCCGAGGGTCGTAGGAGTCTATCCACTGCAGGGATGTGAGGTTGAAGAGCTGGACTATCCCGCCGGTGACGCAGGTTTGTGCTGTCCCCCCGTTGGCTGGATAGCCGCCTAGAACGATCATCTGGTCCGGGTAGGGTTTGATGCAGCGGTGACCTGCGCGGCCGTGGCCGGATCTGCCGACTGCGGCTTTTACCCAGGTGAAGCTCGGGAGGGACAGAATCCAGACTTCGTCGTTGAAGGGGGAGCGCAGATTGATCCCGTCGAAACCGCCGTAGTAGTAGATATTATGACTTGACCCATCAGGGGCCGAGGCAACAACTGTGCACCCCTGAGTCCAGGCCGTTTTTGCCGGTCCCCCGGTCGTGTCCTGCTGGAACCAGGTTTTAGACTCGATGTCGTAGACCGAGACTGTGGTGATGAAGCCGGGGCTTTTGAGTTGCTAGTGACGTTAGATTGATTTAATGTGATAATGGGATGAAATAAACTCACACTATTAGCCATCCTCTCAGCAGTAAGACTGGAAGACGCATTCGCAAACACCGGATCAACAACACCTCCAATAACGACCAACAACCCATTCTTCCCCACCGGTACCCACACCATCTCCGGGCTTGCGCGACCAGGGACAATCGACTTTATCGTCTCATTCTTCCACACCTCCTGCATCTGATTCGTCATATCAACCGAGATCAGATCCCTCGAATACGTCGTCGGATCCGTCGTCGCATTGCCAGACGGGTAATAGACCGGGCCATGGCTCTTCGAATTCATGCCTCCAAAGTAATATCCCATATTCTCCGACGGCACGCTGACGCCAGCGCCAAACCCAACATAGCGCGTGATTCCCGCCGTGATCTCGGTGTTGAGAAGGAAGGTAGGCTCGAACTTCTTGTCCTGCCCGCCATACCAGTAGCGCTGGTAGCCGAATGTCGAGCCGGCATCCGGAGTCGTTACGGCCACGGTGGCGAGGGATAGACCTCCATATGCGAGGAACTCGCCGTCGTTGGCGAGGAGGGCGCCGTCGACGTATATCGGCTTTATGTCGTCTGAGGCGCCGGTGACGGACGTGATGGATGTGAGGACCTCGGAGAAGTTGTCGGAGGTCTTGAAGGGCGTGCTGAAATTTAGTGTATAGACGAGTCCGTGGTCGAATCCTGGGGGTGGGTGGTTAGTTTGCGCCGGCTTGCATTGGTGGTTCTCACTTACCATCTTGGAGGAGTTCAGCGGGCGAGCCGTCTTTCAGCGAAGGCTGCCAGTATAATTGTCCACCGTCAATATACGCCGTATCCCGAATGACGCCCACTAAGAGTTGTCAGAGAGGTTTCTGGATTGGCTTTCAATCTATCATACCTCGAGGCAGGGTCCATATACACATCGTCGTATTGGCCTGGTTCTCAACCCATCCCGAGGACTGCGCCCAAGCGAGGGGCAGCAGCGATAGCGATACGGCCAGCGGCCACCGTGAGGCCATCATCGTGGTCATCAGAGGGCTTCAGTTTTTAAAATTACAGACAAGAAGGAAATGCGACAAAAGCTCACGATCGTGTAGCCGTGGTGGATAGGTTCACAACTTCAGATTGTGCACAGTGGCGGCACAACGCACGAGCATCGATCGTGGGTAAGATGGGATAAGATGCAGCGGGGACATCGCTCGCGCGCCACTGTTTTTTTGGGAGGTGATCAGATATAGGATGACAGGGCGCAGGGCCAATGGAGGAGTATTGGAAGGGGGATTGGGTGTTAGAGGGTGGAACAAAGGAGGGTACTGTCAGTACTGTGAAGGGGAGGGCAGGGAGTACAAAGACATGCGTTCCTTGGAGCTTTTTTGCTCTTTGGGACTTGTGCGTCGGCATGGCCGCAGTCAGACACTGCAGTAACCAGAGTCAGTCAAGAAAGACCCCACCATCTTGGATGACTTGGGGCTTGGTAGTATGTGTAAGTATGTGTAGGTAAGTGTAGTAAGTACTGTACAGCAAGTCTTGTATGTACAGGATATATTTGAGTGATGGCGGACAGAAGTAGACGATAGTGGACGGGTTGAAGAATTGACAGGATGAGGTGATTGGATGGGGGAGTGTAGCTAGCAGGCATATAGAGTGTCTAGTCGAGGACCGACTTTCCTCAGCCTCGCCGGTTTAGTAGTGGAGGGGAGGGGATGGGGGTTGGGGGTGGGTGGAGACGGACGACGTGGCGGGCAGGATGGGCGAGGAGCAAGGGTTGTGGAAGGCTAGAAAGGTCGAGTGGGAGGGTGTATGTATACCAAGCTTTTAGACCGGTGAGAACGGAGAACGCGCGAACGCGGCAGTTGGTAGACAATACGAGAGCAGGCAGGTTAGATAGCTGAAGTGACAGTAGCTCGGGTATGTTTTGTCATGCTATGGAGAGAGTGGAGAGGGAGGAATGTGACAGGATTGAAGGAGGAATGTATGTGGGTATTTTGGTAGTGAGGGGAGGTAAGGTGTGGAAATGGAAATAGATATCTCACCTTTGTGAACGAGTGGGTTAGGCTGGTTGAGTTGCCTATGGATGTAGTCTGTGAAGTGGAGGGGGTTGCTTTGGTTGCCTATAACCGAAGTCTGCAAAGTCTTTAAAGCAGTTTGTTAAGGCATCACTTTGTCAAGGCAGCCATCGAATACCCGTTGCTTCGAACCCAGCCACACGTGTAGTGGCCAGGATGAAGGTGACGATACTACTCAACCTCAATAACCGTGATCAATACATCCCAAAAGAGAAATAAGGCAGCCAAGAAGCACCGGAGAAAGAGCGAGCTAGGTGCAAGTGGATGCGGAGGAGACGGAGAAAAGGTAGGGCCTTGCTGACAGTATCTACTATTCGAGTAGAGTACCCATAGCACTTATTATGGCAGGCACAGATTAGGCATAAGTGAGTAAGCGAGGAACCGAGCAATTGCGTGCATTTGGGTGGAGGGGAAGTCACGACGGAGGGAGAGAAGAAGTCACGGCAGAGGAGAGGGGAGAAGTCACGATGGAAGAAGAGAGGGAGGGAAGAGACAGCTAGAGCTAAGAGAAAAGAGAGGGGAAGACGGCGGGTGTGTGTGGCCCCCTGGTCTGGTCCGTCGAGTCCGTTGAGTGAGTGCATTTGTGGATATTGTAGGGTACCTTACCCCTGCTGTCAAAGTCAAGTCGAGTACTAGCGAATGGTGTCCGTTATTCTTGGCACGTCAGTCAGTGACAGTCAAGGTCGTCGTCTTCGCAATCCACTCTTTCTTATTGTGCTCGCCTTGTTGACTAGATGATGAGTGTACGTATGGAGTCAATCTGTACGTAACAATCATCAGCATTATCAGCATCAGCCCTAAATCCAATCTCGTTTACTATGTATAGCTGATTAGGCCATCACTTGTTGTTTACAGTAGTTTGTTTGACTGCACGCACAATCCGCTCAAATCTGTTTATAGCCTTTTTCCATCTCACCGGTCGCCAATCTCGTTAATCGACTACTCCACTCCACTACCACCACAACAGCACGGCCTTGACACTACTAACACTACCAACACTCTGCCAATACCTGCCAATTCGATAAGAAATCCTTCGACTCCACTCCCTCCAATCCTTCACCACACACACAGCTGCCTCAGCCCTATGGCACCACGACACACCGCCCACGCCCATGTCCACGCCCCTCTCTGTTCTCACCTTTCTCCTCGGGCCAACCTCCCGTTCTCCCTCTCCCCTTCTCCTCGGTAATTCTCTTCCTCTTCCTCTTCCCTCTGCCTCCTCCTCCCATCCCTCAAGCCACACCACCACCTCCCTAAGCTCCATGCACGCCACAGTAGTCGCATCCCATCCATGCAGTGCTTACGAACGGGGAATACCACCATACAATACACAACTATAGTATAGTGCTATCTATTATAGTGCTAGAGTGCCATTCCCCTCTGATCATCCGAGTCTATCGATTCTCGATTCCCACCACAGACAGACGGAGGATTCCCCGGAGCAGACCCCCGACTCGCCGTCCCTTTCCCCCACCACCAGCCCACCACCTTCCCTTCCCGCCCCCAACGCGAATGATGAAGCCTCATCTAGCCATCCATACATCCCATCCACTCATCCACTCGCCCGTTGCTGCTTGCCGCCGTCGTCGTAGTCAGCCCTTCTCTCCCGTCTGCCAAGCGGCCCAAGAATGTTCTCTCTAGCGGAATATGCCAGGGCAGGATCCGGTGGGATTGATGGCGTCTGCCGTGGTGGTGGTGGTGGGTGGTGGTGGCTGTGGCAGTATTCCCATTCCCACGATAACGTGGTAATCCAGTGACAGTTTGACAGTTCACACGCACACACATAATACTCGTATTTGTTCAGTCAATCATCATCGCGGGATCAATCGCCGGATTTTGCCTTATTATTTTTTCTTCTGTTTTCGGGCTTCATCTCATCTCACTCTGGTCTTCAGCCCTCAGCCTTGTTACCATCCTTCGCTCGTCAGCCCCAGCCACCAACCACACACTCACACCCACACCTCCCCCACCACGTTGTCAACCCATCCCACCCCGCCCAACCACAACAAAGAAACATTTTCCCGAGAGAGAGAGAGAGAGAGACAACACCCAACACCCACCTCCACCACACTCCCACAAAACCCACCAATGCGTGTCCCTGGTCCCTGGTCCCTGAACCCATCATCGTCGTCTCTTCTCTTTCGTCCATCCACCATCCATCTCCGGATCCTACCTGACAGAAAAGCCACAGTCATACATACTGTACATAATACGGAGTTACTTCTATTATTGAACTCTCCGAGCTTACCCTCCACCACCCCTACCTCTCCCCTGGCTTCGTTTCTCCCGTCCCATCGATCCCCTCCATTATTTTTCTCCCCCTACCTTCCGTTCATGGGTATATGCAAACATCGCATCACGCTTGTTTACTTTACTATACTATACTGTACATTTTTTGCATACATGTGACCCCACTCGTGACGATGCCCGATGGATGGGTACACCGTCGATATTACAATACAGCAACGAGAGAAGAGAAAAAGAACCATGTCAACTCAACTCAACCCAGCCATGTCAACTATCACCAACCCATGGCAAAGCAACTTCATCACCTCACCAACCCCCATCCATCCACCCCCCCCGGATCCTCCCACCGTCCACGCCGCCCAAAGAAAGAATACGGGCGGGTGAGGCGGAGGCGGAGGCAGAAGAGTACTAGAAAATACCACGCCATGCACACACCCTGCAGCTATCTGCATCTGCATCTTTTGTATCCACTCAGACACACCCCGACACCTGGCACGACTACTGCTGCTGCTGCTGCTGCTGGTTGTGCACCTATTCCAGTTGGAGAGGATGGATGTAACTCTACTTGTTAAAAGGATACTTTTGTCGGCACGCACCTGCGTGGGCACTCGGCCAGGAAGGCAGGCAGGCAACCCCACTATAGCTCCCCATCCACATCCCCAGTCAAGCCCATCGTCTTAATTCCAGCCCATCACTCTTTCTCACCCTCATCCTCAGCCTCTCCAGCCACCAGATCCGCATTCCCCATATACCCCCAACTCCCACCTGCGGCATCCCTCTTCTCACTTCCTCTCCTCCTTTGTTCTCCCTCTCTCCCCACATTCTACCTTCTTTGTCTCTCTCCCATCTCTCCCTTGCTTTCATGCAGGAAGGAAAAGCCATTGACACATTGCCGACACCTTCGTTGACTTTCTTGCTTGCTTTCCACACTCGCTGAGGAATTGGGTTTCCTACCCACGTTGAACACCACACACGGCTTTGGTGGTTACTCAATCACTATCTGAACCACCCATTGAGATACAAAAATCCCATCTCAACAACCTACCCACCACCACAGGCCCAAAATGCGTTCCCTCCTCCTCCTCCTCTCCCTCCCCCTCCTCTCCTCCGCGGCAGCCACCCTCCCCACCACCGCCCCGCAGGCACGCGCCATCGAAGTAGGCGTCGACGTCTCTCTGAACGGGCAACAAGCCCAGCGCTGCCCCGACCACTGCAGCGCCACGACGACGACAGAGACAACTACGTGTTATGAGACGGTCACCGAGACTGCGCCGGGGGGAACGATTACCTTGCCGGGTGTTACTGTGACCGAGACGGGTGCGGGGGTTACTGTGACCGAGACGGGGCCGGGGGCGACGGTGACGGAGACGCAGCCGGGGGGGACGATTACGTTGCCGCCTGTGACGGAGACGACGACTTGCTTTGAGACTGTTACGGAGACGGGGCCGGGGGGGACGATTACGCTGCCGCCTGTTACGGAGACGGCGCCGGGTGTAACTGTTACGGAGACTGGGGCGGGCGTTACTGTCACGGAGACCGAAGCGGGAACTACTGAGACTGTTACCGAGACGGCGGCGGGAGGCACTGTTACGCTGCCGCCTGTGACGGAGACGGCGCCGGGTGTTACTGTTACGGAGACTGGGGCGGGCGTTACTGTCACGGAGACTGGGGCGGGAGGCACGGTCACTGAGACGGAGACTACTACGTGCTTTGAGACTGTCACGGAGACGGGAGCCGGAGGAACGGTGACTACGACCAAGTATGACCATGGGAAGACGGAGACTGTGACGAAGACGAAGACCAAGACGGAGACGGAGTATAAGTATAAGACTAAGACGCAGACTGTTGTGTGAGTATTCTGAGTTGATGTGGGTGTGGATGAGAAGCTAATTGGGTTCCAGTGTGCCTACCACGGTTGTGAATGAGGAGACGTGAGTTTATCATTTTTTGGCTTCAATTGGGGTTCTCTTTGTTTGTGGCGACTCGAGATGGGTGCATTGAGCTCCTCCGTTGTCTCTAGACAAGGAGGCGCCGAGTATTAAGAGTTTTTGTTATCAAAATGCATAGGACGTTGCTGACTTGCTTTCCAGCGCTACGATCACGGCTACATACATCGAGGTAAGTCCACAAAACCACCATTATCAAAACAAAAGCTAACAAATCAGACCGATATCATCACATCCGTCGAGACCGACATTCTCACGGACATTGTCACCCAGACCGACTCCTACGCCGTCACGACCACCGATACTTACGAGGTCACCCAGACGTCCGTCACGACTTACACCCAAGTTATCACCCTGCCGCCGGTGACATACACCACCACCGCCGAAGGTGTCATCACCACCATCACCGAGCCAGGCGTGGTGACTACCATCATCACCACCGCCTACGTGACTGAGGTCAACACCGTCCGTGAGACCGCCACCAACACCGTCCACGACACCGTCCGCGAGACCGATGTGGTAACCAGCACCGTCTCCGCCGTCATCACCACCACCCTTCCAGGCGTGGTAACAACCATCTCTGGCACCCCAATTACACTCCCCGGCGTCGTCACCACCATCACCGTCCACGAAACCGACGTGGTAACCCGCACCATCTCTGCCCCGGTAATCACCACCACCCTCCCCGGCGTGGTAACCACCATCCGCGGAACCCCAGTTACTCTCCCCGGCGTCGTGACCACCATAACCGCCTCCGTCTCCTTCGTCGGCACCCGCATCTCCACCTGCGCCGTTCCCGCGCCTACAATCCGCAACGTGAAGCCCCAACCCGATAACTACACCTGGGGCTGTCCACCCGGCCAAATCTGCGCCCCCCGCCACCCCTTCGGCTGCGACGTCTTCGCCGACCCTCCCTCGCGCAGCTACGTCTGCGATCCGCTCGACTGCTTTGATGCCCCTAAGCCTACGCTGGTGGAGTGGAAGCACGGACAAACAGGGTACTACCCCCTTACCCCCGGGTATTTCGCGCTTTCACCCCTGGCATTCGGATTAAGCTACGACATCTTCTCCGAAGACATCGTCGTGGAAGTCGTCAACGGAGTCCCCGTCGCTACCATCACCACCGGTAACTGGGCCAGCCAAGCTACCATCACAGCAGCTTACACCGCCCCTGCCCTGCGCCGACGCGCCCCCGAAACCGCACCAGCGATCTGCTACCCCCAGTGCAACAACATCGTCACAACCGGGCAATCCATCGGCAAGACACCTGCTCTCTGCGCGCCTGGTTCCGCATTCTTGAACTACGTGTCGGCATGTAAACAGTGCGTTGCCAACAACGGTGATGCCACCCAGAAGAGTCTGCAGGATTACGTTATCCCGCAATACCAGCAATGGATCGATTTCTGCGACGCCCACGGCTCCGAGAGCGTCGTTACCCCTGGTGGTGGACAGGGCCAAAACGGCGGTGGTGAGGTTACTACCCAGACCCCTGGGGAGACGCAGGGAGGTGATGGAATTCCCGTCACGCCTACTGGGTGGAGGAATTCGACTATGACGACGAGGAGTAGTAGGGTGCCGACTTCGACTATTGCGGAGCCTGGGACTACTGAGACCGGGGTGTCGAGTTCGTCGAGTGAGGTCCAGACGGATGTGCCTACTGGGACTACGAGCAGTGGTGGTGGTGGAGGAGGTGCGGCCGGACCTACTGGTGGAAATGGGGGAGGCTCGACGCCGCCTGGTCCGACTATTTCGGCGATTCCTAATGAGGCGCACAGAGTTGGTGGAAGCGTGGGCGGTATGGGAGGTGTGTTGGGGTTGGTGATGTTCGTGGTTGGGTTTGTGATGTTTGGATAAACACCATGCCACGATGAAGAGGAGATACTATGCGGAAGACGGGCAAGAAGAGGAATTGGGGAGGAAGAGGAAGAGCACAGTGACGATGGATTGGAGAGATGATTGATTGATACCCACGCTCCTTTACGACGCGATGTGATGCGATGCATGCTCGAATTTGCGATTTTTGGAAGATGTTTATATACCCACCACGCTCCTTTTTTGGATGATGACGACGACGAGGGCGTTTTTGGCGTTTTGAGATTTTGGATTTGAAGACGAGAAAAAGCAGAGGTTGGATTTAATGGGCGAGGATGATGGGGATGAGGGGAGTGAAGGATAGGGGCATGGGGGGAGAGAAGGAGAAAGGGGGAATGGGGGAGAGGGGGAAGAGATAGGGGTTGAAGGATGAAGGAGAGGAGATGAAAGGAGTAGATTTGAGAGTATATAAAGAAGCGATATAATTTCTAAGTGAATGAATGAAATAATTATAGGGAACCCCACTGCCCCCCTTCTTTCCCCTCCTCATATTTTCCCCTCCTCCTCTTTCCCCTCCTCTTTCCCCTCCTCTTTCCCCTCCTCTTTCCCCTCCTCTTTCCCCTCCTCTTTCCCCTCCTCTTTCCCCTCCTCTTTCCCCTCCTCTTTCCCCTCCTCTTTCCCCACCTCTTTCCCCTCCCCATCGTTTCCCTTCCCTCCCTCCCTCGCGCCCACCCCATCCCCTCCCGCCTTCTCAAAACATATAATAAAACACCCTGATCCCCACACACACACAATCATGCCACACATCCCATCGCAGATTCCCATGCAATCATCCAGCAACCAGGAGGAGGCTTAGTGGGTGAGAGCATGTCTCGAGATGAGATGAGTTGAGTTGAGGGCAACAGTTGTCGCACGTCAACACCAACAACAAAGTGGCCATCGAGCGATTGGAGGGGGTTCGCGATGGGAGGTGGGG